TGTAACGATGCTCTTAAGATCATGATTCAACTGTCTATTTATGAAAAAGCTTAAGTCGAAACAATGCATTTGCAATACAAAGTAAGACTCAAAGTTTAGATGCCGTGCAGTATCTCGTGCATGAGTGTTATACATAATAATTTTGATATTAAACAAAAACTATCTTCAAGTGAGATATGTAGGTTTTGTAATATACAGAAAAATATCTGTATAACGTGTTTTTTATCCGTTACATATTCACACGTTGCATTAAGTAATTTCACGCGAATAAAGTTAATTAGTTATAAAGCAAGACAGTTTTGCATCTGATGCAATACCTATAAACGTTACAGATCGCGACGTGAATATAATATATGTATAAAAAAAAAGAAGACAAATTCGACGAAATCCTTAAAAAACGCGTGTGCTAGTATTTGCTGGAGCTTGCGGCTTAGGATATTTCTTAAATATGACATTGATCAAATGAAACTTTGCATTTGAATTTGGTATCTGCAATCACGAAGATTAAAGTTGATATGAAGACGACGCAGAAGGGGAACATTGTGATATAAAGGGAGCTGTACCAAATTCAGAAGTGTGAACCTACCATGCAAGTATTATTGTGTTGTGACAGAAGGCAGGTTTCACAGGGCAACAACAGCTAATCTGTAAAGATTAGAAAAAATATATATAATAATTTTATTATAAAAAAAAATAAAAAAAACGAGAACTCACCTAACAAACATTTCACGCAAAGACAAACAAGAACTTATTTAAAGAGTAACGTTAAGATGATTATAAGTATATAGGCGATCTGCACGACCATCTCTTCGTCTTGTGGCGCATCGTTCCAGAGAGAATTTTCTAAGATACCAGAAAAAAGAGGATACAGTGAACAATGCCTTCTACGCTAAATATTATACCTTCTTAACTTCATACCCCGATCTGTTGAATAACAATCATGTAACTTTTCCTGAAGAGCGGAAATTTGAGGAGTAAAATTTCACTTGAATTCTACGATCTTTAGTAATCATATATAAACTTTCTGAATTATAAATATTTAAAACTTCATGTTTCCACTCTTAGGAGAAAGTTATTTGACTGCCACTCTGATTGTTGTATGAATTGGAGAGACTTAATGAGATAAATGATTAACAAATTTATCGAGAAGTCTAAGTAGCTCAAGAATTGTTAGTGATTTTGGGATATGTAAACATCTGTAAAAGGCATTTTTCACATAGTGTGATATGTGTCGTGACATCGTGTACACTGTTTACGAACCGTGTTGCTCCCGCTTCTATTTTTTCTGCGTAATTCCAAAAATTCTTCACGGTCGTCGCCCATGCAGTTGGCCAAGCGAAAGAGATCGCGGTGCAATGTCCTCGTTTAACGATGCAACGCATTACCTGATTTTTTTTTGTATTATGAGACAAAGAAAGAATAAGAAGAAACGAATGATTATTTTTAAAATGGAGGAAGCGACAGGTGCGCGGGGCTTTAGAATGTAAGTCGAATCCAGTGTATAATTACTAAGAGAAAGAAAGAGAAGTTGCAAGATTGAGAAAGGAAAAGAAAAAAAGTATGCGCTTTTCACAGCGCACTGCCGAATAAGTCACGCTCCACCGTAAAACACGCGATTAAGAGTACCATTTAATTGTATTTCGTTTGTACATTTGTGTTTAATCACTCTCCCCTCTTCTCCCTCCCTTCATCTACGATTACGTTAAACTATCCTATAAAAAAAGCTACCTGTATATCTTCCAAATAAAGATCTAATTCAATCCTACTAACTGATCTATTTATTATGCTCGATACGACAGCGTTGGATTTGTATCGTTTCTCTACAGAGTTGTTACTTCAGCCAGAAATAATTTTTCAAAGTTGTGTTCAAAGATGTTTTCAAATTGCTGTTCGATCAATTTTTAATGGAAATTTCAACTAATTTTTTATTTTAAAACGAGGCGATTTTTCAAGTCAATATTGGGATACTGTAATGTAATTATATACAAGTAAAGATGCAAATTCATGTAGCGGATAAATCGCTGCGATTGAAGGTCACGTGGTCATTCGCTATTCGCTAGCGAGTAATCGCTGTTTGCTGAAATTTTTTAGCTTTCAGCGAATATTCGCTAAGATAATCATTGTTGACATCTTAACAACATAGGTATAATCTATAGATTCTCTAATGTAATAATGCTTAAATATGTCTGCTCCCACTATGAATATTAAATTTTCAAATTGACTTGCAGATATGCGTATATAATTATGAAATCTTAAGTCTTCTAGAAGAAGTTTAGGTAGCACAGCATGAAAAAATCCATGCTCTTTTCTATCTTGAAAAATAGGTGCTATCTGATGTTTCTTTCACGAATATTTTCTTTTCTTATGTAAAAGTATAGTCGTAACTGCAACTGCTTTCCTTTTTCGGATATTTTCATAATAATTCATTATTTGCATATAATTTAATAATGTTTGATTATATCAAGTAATCAAATGAATGAATTTTCTTCCATATGTTGACACGCAATATATAACGCTCATAACCTATTCGCGGCGAATTATTCGCTACTCTCTACAAATCATTCGCAGCGAAAAATTCGCTATATGAAAAGGTACCCTAAGAATACATGTTCGGGTGAATTGTCACGAGGGTGAAGCTCAAGAAGTGAGGGGAATGATTGTATGTATTGTAATGGAGTTGACATACCATGAAAGTGACTCATAGCCAATCAGAAAACTTATAAGCCATTTTTAAAGATTCATTTATCAGTAAAAGAGAACTCAGGGTGCAAATCCATGTACGGACTAGCGGAACATGGAACGAGAGCGGAACCAATTACGTGCGTTTTACAGTTTTCGCTCGTGATTGGTTCCGCTTTCATTCCACGCTCCGCTATTTCGTTACATGAGTTTGCACCCTCAGAATACGAGCTATAGACAATACATACAAAACTCCGATACTAACATGGCCGCGATGATGTATCCTCTTATCTTTTGGGCTTCACAGGCCCTCGTCTGCAATTCGTTCATGGGGGCATTCAGATTCCCTACCCGGGTGCACTTCTAAGGGAGCGTCCCAGATGCGCACATTGACAAAAGGACACAGCCAATCATAACGTCATATGCCTAGAGATATTCTAGAGACTCTATAAACAACGACATATGATTGGATGTGTCCGTTTGTCAATGTGCGCATCTGGGACTCACTCCACTCTAATACTATGGTCGGTATTCATAGGCCGGTGTTCATAGTCGAATCTTATTTCAAGATTGTCTTAAGTAATGTCTTAAGATGCGAATACAACTCTGTGATTGACATCTTAAGACTTAAGATGATCTTAAATATAAGATCTATGAATACTGGCCATAGTCGGATCTTATATTTAAGATCATCTTATAGCATGTTCGACTGGCTCTGGGTTAACCCACTCTGAGTTATTCAGCCTACGTTTATTGGTCGAACAAGTACGTATAAGCTTTATGTTGGCTAGTAGAGACTTATGACGTCATTAATCGCTCTCGGAGCGATTAACCTAGGGTCGAAGATGCGTATGCGAAAATCTATAATTCACGTTACATATGCCCGTATTCATAGTCAGACCTTAAATTTAAGGATTCCTTAAGTTCATTTTCAGATGCTCTGTAGCCAATAAAATGATTCGTAGAACATCTGAAGATGAACTTAAGGAAGCTTTAAATATAAGGCCTGTCTATGAATACGGGCAATACACTATAGATTTTCGCATGCTTATCTTATTCGCATACCGTCAAGAATCGAACTCAAGGCAATAGGAACAGGGAATAGGAATTCGGATTGGTCAATTATTTCTATTCTTTGTTCCTATTGGCTAAAACTTATTCTTATTGCCTGTAGCCTTGGGCTCGATTCTTGATGGTACCAGGTGTAGAAGTATGAAACCGGAATTCCCCTATAAATGGTGCCAGCGTTCAGTTTAGTGACCGTAAGACCGCTACTGCCGCGCTATTATATTCTCCTAACAGCTGACGAATATTGTCAACAAACATAACCCCAACTTTCATTCTCTAGTATATTTTTGTATAACCTTAAACATGTCACGTTTCGAGCCTACTAACTATGATTTGCGGACAGCATTGATTTTCTGTTATCATTTAAAGAAAACTGCTGCAGAATCACATCGAATGCTTGTCGAAGCTTACGGTGAATATGCTCTTGGTAAATCTCAGTGTTTCGAGTGGTTTAAAAAATTCAAAAGTGGTGATTTTGACGTGAGGAACGAAGAACTATGAACTATGAACTATGAACTATGAACTGCTGAAACCTGGTCAAACCGTCAATACTAATCGCTACCAACAACAAATGATCGATTTAAATCGAACATTGACTAAAAAACGACCAGAATATGCAAAAAGGCAACACAATGTCATTTTGCTCCATGATAATGCCCCATCACATACAGCAAAACGGGTCAAGGAAACGATCGAGTCGTTCAGTTGGGAATTACTACCGCATGCGGCTTATTCTCCAGACTTGGCTCCGTCCGATTATCACCTGTTCGCATCGCTAGGACACGCTCTCGCTAACCAACGCTTCGATTCGTATGAAAATGTGGAAAAATGGCTAGATAACTGGTTCGCTTCAAAAGATGAAAAGTTTTTTTGGCACGGCATTCATAAACTGCCAGAGAGGTGGGAAAAATGTGTTCAAAACAGTGGAAATTATTTTGAATAAAGTATTATTTATCACTTTCGAACAACAGACGTCTTATTTGTATAAAAAAATTCCGGTTTCATACTTCTACACCTGGTATGCGAATGAGATACGCATGCCAAAAGGTATAGTTCACATTACACATACTGTAGATTTTCGCATGGGTATCTCATTCGCAAACCGTCAAGAATCAGAGGCCGTATTCTTGAAAAATATCGCATACGATATTTCGATGAAAAGCTATAGTTTATGTGACGTATATTATAGCTTTTTATCGAAATATCGTATGCGATATTTTTCGAAAATAATGCAGCAGGCCTCTGGCAATGGCTTAGTTTACATCGTGTACTTGATACGCGTACTAAATAGTAACTTTCTATTAGATAATCTTAATATCGACGATATATATAAACAATGGTATATTAAGCTGATATAATATTCATCAAGAAAACGTATTGATTGAACGCGTCGCCGTTGATATGCATTGTCAATATTAAGATATTTAATATGCATTGTCAATATTAAGATTATTTAATAGAAAGTTACTATTTAGTACGCGTATCAAGTGCACGATGTAAACCAGGCCATTGTGCAAGGGCTCTAACTGTACTATCGATATGACAGTTTTCCTAACTTTTACATTAATCAACTTTGTTGATTAATTTCTTGCTTCGCGGGGCAGAGCGACGCTTATTTCTGCCAGATTCTTATTTTACGTGCAAAAACGCGTCGATTGAGTATATTTTCGTTGATATTGGAGGTGATGTGTGTAAACTGAATAATTACCATAACTTGTATTTTTTAACTTCAAAAAAATCTGCTAAACTATAAAATTTATAGTAATTCAGATAATATAAAGAAATTTGTTTTTCGCATATACATGTTTGAATAAATAGATAGAAATAAGGAGATAAATGAAGTAAACATATTACATATTGAAGTAAGTATACTTCATTTGCAGGTATATTAAGCTGTTCTGGCACAGTAAACATTGTAATTTCAGCATCTCATTTATTTTTGATAACTTATTTAATAATTTGTATATATTTTAAGAAACTCCTTCATTCTAATGTTACTACAGAGATTATTTCATGTTGCGAAAAGCAGCAGAATTTCACAGAAAGTTTTGCATAAAACTAATCATTCGGTATATAAGGTATGTTATGAAGTAGGTATATGTATCATGTTATGGTTTATTTTTAATAGTATTTTTTACTATCTACTTTGTAATTTTTCCCATTTATTTTCTCTTTTATCAAATATTAAATATATATCTCCTTTATTTTAAATACAAACACAGAATGCACTTGATACAATTAACTGAATATAAATAATAACAAACTTAATAAAATAATATAACAAGAATAGACCTATGACATCAATATTTGTATATATTAATATATCAAAATATATAATATTTTTTACTAGGTGAACAATATAAGAGTTGTCAGAAGACTAACATGGGTAACAGTGCCATTTATTTCATTGAGAGTATCAGGATTTGGGATAAATACAGATAAACAAGATAACACTGCTGAAATACAAATTATAGAGAGGGAAGCTCTTCTTAATAAGGCAGATGCACTCTTTGATCAAGGGAATTATAAAGAAATATATGATATTTTATCAAATCATAAGGTAATTAATATTTTCTAAATTATCCTTATTACATGATTATATACATGTATGATAATATTAATATTTTTTAAATTATCTTTCAAATGAACCAATAAGAGCCTATGCCTAGGTTTTTAATGCAATTAACAAAGAAATATAAATATAATTTATATAAGTATAAATTGTCAATAATAATTCAAATAATCAAATTCAGTATCTTATGTCACCAATCACACTAGACTAACCAGAATTAAGTTAACAAAAGATAATTTAAGTGATTTTTATCTTAGAGCCTTCTATAAATTATATTTTTTTATTTCTTTATAACTTTTTTGTTTCTTATTTATAGGACAGTAAGGATATTGAGATTTTATGGCGTTTATGTAGAGCTATTTATAAGATATCCAAAACAGCCAGTGATGTGGAAGCACGGAAATTGGTTTATGAAGGATACAACTTGATATGTATTGCTCTTGACATTCAAGAAGATCACTATGCTGTTCATAAGTGGATGGCTATCTTCCTTGATAGTAAAGGCACTCTTGAAGGCACAAAAGCACTTATGAGTGAACTTCCAAACATCAAACAACACTTATTGGTAAAATATTTGACAAATTCATTTAAACATAAATGTTAGTAAAATAATGAAATATGAAATTTTGCAAATTTAAGCATATCTTTTGTATTAAACCTTCTACATTGAATCCTAATCTATATTAATATTAATGAAAGGTTTGATTCACCACACGTTATAAAGATTGGAAAATTTATTCAGCATATGCGTTAACATCATAAACATTAAGTTTGTTTGCGTTGCTTGTATCTTTTATATTTTTAATGTCCTTTGCACACCAGACACGATAAGCGATATCCAATGAGAATTCTTTCTAAAGACGGACCAATGTGTACAATGGGCGTTAGGAATAAAAATGTTAAAAGTGCAAGCAACATGAACAGACCTATTATTTGCTCCAACATTTGAGCCTCGACTGGCCAAATATATGTTTAATTAAAGTTGCATATTTCGTTGTTGTTTGCAAATTTACGTACAAAGGGCAGTTTGAATATTGTGTTATATAGTCTGTGTTGCAGAAAGCGTCGGTATTAAACCCAGCGGATGCAACGACATTTTACATGCTTGGATGTTGGTGCTACGAGATTTCAAATTTAACATGGTATCAACGTAAAATAGCTTCTGTCATATTTGGTGAACCGCCAACCTCCACTTTTGAAGAAGCATTAATGTATTATGAACATGCTGAGAAAGTCGATCCAAATTTTTATAGTCACAATTTATTAATGTTAGGAAAAACATATCTGAAATTGAAGTGTAACGAAGATGCGATAAAGTATTTGCAAAAGGTCATCGAATTTCCTGCAGGAAATGATGACGATCAGAAAGCAAAACAGGAAGCACAAAAAATATTGAATAATATTCGTTTATAAGACAAATGATTTTATAATATATTTTCATATTATTATATATCTTTTATATTATTATATATCTTTTATATATATATATATATATATATATATATATATA